AACATAAACTCTTCCAAATGAACAGTTTTTTCAAAAAGAAATCACAGAGAAGATGCACATGGCAAAGTCCTAATAGAAAAACAAAACGAAATAGATTTTATTTTCACGGACAAAAAACACACCGTTAAAGGCATCACGGTTTTAAGCAGATTTGTTACCAGTAGCGATCATAGAATGGTACGAGGTAAAATAGAATAAGCTTAAAGAAGGAGGGGTGTAAGAGGTTTAAAAAGAAGAACAAATCAAAACCATGGATGAAACCATCAGATGTAAATAGTTTTTAGCAATGTTTTTCCGACATACTTAGTAGTCCTGAAACAGAGAATAATATAAACAACTTAAATAATAAATTAACAAATGCTTTACTGAAAAATCAAAACAAATCTGTCCTAGAACTAAAAAAGAAAAGAAGATTAGCCAAAATATTAGGCTATTAATGTTAAAAAGAAGATAAATGAGAAGCGAGACGGAAACTAAGGCCAACGAACTACAAAAATTAAATAAAGAAATATCCAAAGCTGTTTTCCTTTTGGACAGTAATATCCCCGACAAATGGCACAATGCTTAGGTAATTCTATTGTACAAAAAAGGAGATCCCCATGAGTTAGAAAATTACAGACCTATAAGTTTTTTTAATCACTTATAAAAACTCCTTACAAGAACAGTAACAAATTGTCTTGAGAAAAAACTTGATTTCTACCAGCCAATAGAGCAAGTGGGATTTCGTACCGGATTTGGAACAAATGATCACCTACAGAGCACTAAAACGGTAATAGAAAAGACTATCGAATACAATCTAACACTCGTTCTTACTTTTGTAGATTTCCATAAAGCCTTTGATATGGTTGAATTTGACAAAATCCTGGAAGCACTATGTTTGGGAAAGTATGTATTTTTACATTTAATATTTTTCTGTTACGGTACTGTAATGTGACCTAATTTAGTGCTGTACTCTAAAGACCCTTTTAAAATATATAATTTCTTGTTCTTTCGTAAAACTTAAACTGGCTATCTCATTTGTCATGTTGAAGTATGCAGAGTTTGGCTTTTTCCTTTGTATTTAAGATAAAGATTCAAATACAAAGATTGAAACAAGTGGTTGATTTATGGCATGCCCGACCTACGAAATGTTGACCATCCAACGGTTAGAGGGGTTTTTTGCCCTAGTGACGCTCTCAAACTCTCAAGATTTTGACTTCTTCGTAAGACAGTGAAAGATATGCATCATTGACCGGTCTCGTGCTGTAGCCTCGGCGATGCTAGCGTCGGTTACACGACCAACTCTTCATTCCTGTTAAGACGACATCAATATCTTCAGAGGGTAAGTCCATGTTCTTTGTACAAAACATTGATAATGAGTAAAACCAGTTAATTTCATAATTTATTCACAATTGATAGTTGCTATTTTCACTAATTTTATGTACAAACAGATATTGCATTTTTTCTTTATAATTATTTATCCAATATCATTTAACCAGCGACCTCTTAAGCTTATCCTAAACACACTACAAGCATGCCGCATTGACTACCGATATACAAGGTTAATTTACAATACATACCAGAACGCAACTACGTCGGTAAAACTAACTGGGAAGAGAAAAGCTTGAACATCGACGGTAGAAAATTAACAAATTTGAAATTTGCAGACGACATAGTTTTGTTCTAGAACAACCTCAAGGAGATATGTACCGGGTGGTCCAATAAGCCGATCTCTCGGCTATATATCAGAAACTATTCATGTTATAACTTTAGGAGAAAAAATTTCAGTAAAAGTGGCCAAGAGAAATCGCTGAAAATAACTTTCAAGTTTCTGGGTTAACCGCTAGGGGGCGTAACCTGCGAAGAAAATTTTGAAAAACAGTTTTTTGGGAAATATGTCCAATTATACCAAGTGTTAAATAAGTAAACTAAACAGGGGCATAAATTCTGCACAAAGTTGTTCAAGTACTTTTTTTAATTTTTTCAAATAAAGGGTGGGGAGAGTGGGAAAGTATTTGTGGATAAATACCTATAACTTTGGTTTGGATTAACCGATTTTAATGAAATTAGTGTCATTAGAAAGAGTGTGGATGAATTAATTTAGATCTACTATAAAATACTTGCATTTAGTTTTCATAGTCGTAGGTAGAGGGGACTTTGAAATAAAAAAAATTAAAATTTGTTTTTCTTCAAATTTTTTAATGGAAACACCTATTTATTGTAAATTATAATGAAACTGGATTAAATTCGTAACAAAATGGAGCAAACCGCATGTTAATAGCTTTTGTTGAACTAGAGATACGAATAAAAACTCATAAACATAAGTAAGTATAGTATTGACACACCCTGTATTATAAATTACATTAAAAAATAAGTCAGTAGGTATTTTCAAATTTTTTTTATAACAGAAGAATCTTAATGTTGATACCTATTTTGTAAAAAATAGTTTTTTCGAAAGTAAGTAGGCTACGACAATGAATTTGACGGGGAGTATTGTTTATTGTTTATTTATTGACAGCAGTCAAAACATTGTTAAGAAGTGCTATATTATAATTCGAACGAAAATTGCATTTTTTTCAATAGATATTAATATTGGTAATATTAGTAATTAATTATCAGTACAAATAATTCGTGATGAGTATAACAAATTGTATGATATGATTGGAGTTTATTTCGCATGTCACCAAATGCCGCTATTGCCTCACGTATATATTTTGTAAGATATCCTGACAGGAGACATTATGGCAAAAAAGTATTTGAAAGAAAGGCAAAAAGATTAAGAGAAACTGGTTTTTCTCGTCCTTGTTTTAAACGACGTAGTAGAGTTATGACCGAAGATAATTCAATCAATGTTCTTGCTTTAATTCAACACAATGCTCATATAAGTAGACCGAAATCTCTACTTCTTTGCTACAATATCTCCTGCCAGGATATCTTACAGAATATATACGTTAGGCAATAGCGCCATTTTGGTGATATTCAAAATAAACTGCAATCATATCATACAATTTAATATACTCATCACGAATTATTAGTACTGATAATTAATTACTAATATTACCAGTATTGATATCTATTAATTTTTAATATTATATTCGAATTTTCAATTCGAATTATAATACATATAACACTTCTTAACAATATTTTGACTGCTGTAAATAAATAAACAATATGAACTCCCTGTCAAATTCATTGTCGTAGCCTACTTAATTTCGAAAAAACAATTTTTAATCATATGAAATAACAATGGTCAAAATAGGTATTAACATTAAGAGTTTTCTGCTATAAAAAGTTTTAAAAGTACCTTCTGACTTATTTTTTAATTTATTTTATAATACAGGGTGTGTCAATACTATACTTACATATGTTTATGCGTTTTTATTCATATCTCGAGTTCGATAAAAGCTATTAACATGCGGTTTGCGCCATTTTGTTACGAATTTAATCCAGTTCCATTATAATTTACAATAAATAGGTGTTTCCATTAAAAATTTTAAAGAAAAACAAATTTTAATTTTTTCTATTCGAAAGTACCCACTACCTACGACAATTAAAACTAAATGGAATTATTTTATAGTAGATGTAAGTTAATTCATCCATACTCTTTCTAATGACACTAATTTTGTTAAAATCGGTTGATCCAAACCAAAGTTATAGGTATTTATCCACAAATACTTTCCCACTCTCCCCCACCGTTTATTTGAAAAAATAAAAAAAAAGTACTTGAACAACTTTATGCAGAATGTATGCCTCTTTCTAGTTTACTTATTTAACACTTCGTATAATTGGACATATTTCCCAAAAAACTGGTTTTCAAAATTTTCTTCGCAGGTTACGCCCCCTAGCGGTTAATCCAGAATCTTGAAAGTTTTTTCCAGCGATTTCTCTTGGCCACTTTTACTAAGGAATTTTTTCTCCTAAAGTTATAACATGAATACTTTCTGATATATAGCCGAGAGATCGGCTTATTGGACCACCCGGTACAATGCTACATGTACTTCAGTTAGTGTGTGCCAGTGTGGGTCTTATAATAAACATCTCCAAAACAAAATTCATGACAAACCTAGCACCTAGCGGAAATATCAATGTTGGAAACAACGAAGTAGAGCTGGGGGAAAAATACATATACCTTGAACACGAAATAAAGATCACAAGAGATGACCAAACATGCGAACTATAAAGAAGAATAAACCTAGCATGGGCAGCCTAGATCTTTAAAAGCGATATACCAATGCCTGTAAAACATGAAAATAGAAAGGTCAATTCTGAGTATATCGCTCCGTGAACAAGTTAGAAATGAAGACTTAAGACGAAGAACAGTAGTTACCGATGTAATTTCCTGAATTGCCACACTAAAATGGAACTGGCCGGACACATCATCCGAATCAGTGATGAAAAGTGGAAGAAGAGATTGTTTGAGTGAAGGCCGAGGTTAAACAAAAGAAGTAGAGGAAGGCCCCCTACTCGTTGTACTGAGATATTAAAAAAATGTGAAGAAATTTGATGAAAAGTGCTCAAGATAGAGCACAATGGACAAAATTGAGGGAGGCCTATGTCCAGCAGATGACGAAAAGGGCTGGGTGATGATGATGATTAGTGTTAATTCGTAACAACATAATGCGAGTAATATAGGGGTTAAATCAAGTACTTATCTCTTGATGTCTGTTTGTAAGAGGTATGATTGAAGTAACATAGTCTCATTCAAACGTATATTTATATTTATAAAAATTATAGCTAACTTTTAGATACACATCTAATGAAATTAACAAAAAAATCATGTCTTAATTTATTACATTTTGAATGTCATTGGTGAGGCCACAAACAATATCGCTCTATAATAACTAAAATAGTTTTCGCGAGAACTAAGAACTATAGATTCAAGTCGCCCTGCTAATTCAAGCACTTGTTTTCTGTTATTTCTCCATCAATAATACCGTAGCTAGCTATAAAACATAACATTGATGTTGTGCGGCCCCCTTACTTTTAAATAAACGTTTCAAGGTAGCAGGAACTATGATGTTTATGACGTCACCCATGGTAAACGCGTCCAAAATGCGCTGTGAAAAGAAAATTAAATTAAAAGACAGTCAGTGGTCGGCCGTCTCGTGTCGTTGGTTTGTTAAATAATTGTGATTGCATTGTGTTTCTATATTTTTATTCGTCTGCCACTACGTCTAAAAGTTTTTGACAAGTATTTTGTGGATTAGGTATGTTGACATATTTTTCTTGTTGCGTGTTTGTGCATATTGAACGATTGATCGCAAATTTTTGTAAGGAGCGGGATTTATTTTTAGAATCGCGTTTCTCGGAAAGTAGGAAAACATTTTAGGTGACATAAGTTTTTCTGAGATATATCATAGCATAACTATTTAAATTCAATTGGATTTACCCAATGTAACTCCTTTGTTTGAATTATGTCTATGAATATAATTAAAATATTTGTAATGTTAAACCAAGAAAAATGTTAGTGAAAATTATTCTTTGAAAACCCCCTATAATATTGTCTTGATATCCTTTTATCCTAAAATGACCAGAAAAAAAGTTTATAAGGCCCAAAACAAAATTTGTCAAAAAATGTTTTTATAACTTTTTTATTTTTCATTTACGATTAAAGGTATTAGAAATAAAGTTGTAGACTTTTTATTTCGCTACAAATAATATCCCATATAATTTTTTGTAGGGTTTCTAATTTACTGGATACAGTGCGAAAACCCTTGGCGTCCCTTTTTCCTAGATAATAGCTGGGGAACAAGGATGACTACTCAACAAACTTGAACTACCTCCACCACAAATGAAAAAAAAAAAGAAAATTAAATCTTTTCAAAAATTAATCTCAATTTACCTCACTTTTTTTAATGGACTATAATAATGTGTTTCTTCCTCTTGTTTTATATAGGCAAATTGTCCGTTTGGTTCCTATTCGGGTGCATAATTTCTTTTCATCTCTTTCTTGTAGGAGATGTGCTACCTTAAGTTGGAGACGTATCCAGGAACTATGATCTTCTTTACCATTCTGCTAATGTGGCAGTTTTGTTTTCATTCTCTTTCTTATACTAATTCACCACTATTGTTTATTTTTCGTAGGTTTCTCATGGCATTGCTTCTTGTTCTGTCTAATAGTCTTTTCCCGGGTTTTCTTCTTCGTATTCTCATCTCATTTTTTTTGCAAATGTCTATGCTTGTGTCTGGTCTTGTTTCTGCTGTATATGTCATGACAGGTTGGATTATAGATTAGTGTATTTACGATTTTTTATCTAGTTTTACGTATTTTTTTTCACCATATTATGTCATTAAGGCACCCTTCTGCTCCACTGGCCTATGTTACTTATTCCCTCGCTTTCATTTCAATATTGTTGTTGCTCCATAGGTTTATTCCCAGATATTTAAATTTTAATACTTGTTTTATCAATTGGTTGTCAACCTTAAGTTTTCACGTTGTTGGTTCCTTTGACAATCAAAACAAAAGTACAACCAGCTGTTATTTATGTCAACTGAGAGGTAAAAAGCAACATAAAAAATGTGCTGCTACTATTTACTCTTGTAAAAAAAGATTTTGTAAAAATCGAACATAACCTAAAAATGATTTCTTAACACAAGTTATTATTTTTTGTGTGCATAAAACAATTTAAGTTTTATTTATAGGAGACTCAAAACGATTTTTAAAGCAATAAAGTAAAATAATTACAATATCATTCTCATACTTATAGGCAAAGTTATCGTTGGATTAAAAGGTGCAGATTATGTTCAGCTGAACGTCAGTCAGCAATACAACTCAAACAGCGATACCAACATAAAAAACAACAACAAGAGCGATGATGTTTCTTAATGCTTTGTATTGCTTTTTGTTTATATATACTACATCTCTTCTCTTTTAACCGGAATTTGGATCAGCAGTAGTACCATCGAGCTACTGAATTCATTCGATGATCTCCAAGTGGAGTTACTTCCTTTGGCTACACTTTTAATCATCATCATAAGTGACTTATTAATCCATTGTGGATCTTGGCCTGCTCACAAATAAGACGCCATTCCTGTCGATTCCTGGCAACTTCCCTCCATCTTCTGACCCTTAGAATCTGTAGTTCTTCTTCCACATCATTATTCCATCTCCTTCGTGGTCGTCCTCTACTTCTTGTGCCCTCTGGTTTTGAAACTGTTAATCTCTTTGTGTATTCGTGATCTGACATCCTAGCAATATGTCCAGCCCATCTAAGTCTCTGCACTTTATCGAATTTTACAATTTCTGGATCACTGTATAACTCATATAGTTCAAAGTTGTATCTTCGACGCTATAGCCCCCATAGCTTATAACAATATCCTTTGTAAAATGTTGTCTTTCAAAGAATACATTGCCGAAGATTTTGTACGCAGATGCTAACAGAGTAATGCTTTTGTTTTCATTCCTTCCATTCCAATATTTCCTTTCCATAATTTCCTTTTCATTCCAATAGTTCTTCCAATCCAGTTGATCACCTTTTTTATGCAACGGACATATTATTCCTTTTAGCCACTCTTCTGGTATCAATTCGTTCTGTCATATAAGTACTATTAGTTTATGGATTGCTGCAAAAAGAGGATCACCACCTTTTTTATACATTACCGAACAGATTTCATCAATTCCTGGGATTTTATTATCTTTGAATTTTAGGATAGCATTTGACACTTCTGGCATTGTTATGGCATTTTTAATCGTGGTTTAAATTCTCGACGGCTATTATTTAAATATTTGTAGTATTTCCTTGTTTCATTTTTATTTAATGAACTTTGTATCTCATTGGGAGTATTATGTTCGTATTCCTTCTTCTCACGTCGATGGATACTTTTTTCCTCTCTTCTATGACGTTTATACTCTTCTTTTTTTCTCTGTGTACAATCTGCGTCGATGGTTTGTTGGTATGCTGCATTCTTTCTATTTGTGGCAATTTCGCACTTATGATCAAACCAAAAGAAACGAGTGGATAAGAGAGAAAACAAAAGTGAGGAATGTTAGACAAGAAGTTGCAAAATTGAAATGGAGATTTGCCGTACACAATATAAGACAAAAAGAAGACCGATGGAACAAAATTCTTATGAGTTGGAGACCGTGGGAATATAAACGAAGCAGAGGAAGGCCCCAAATAAGATGGACAGATGATATCAAAAAGCACGTGGGCTCTAGGTGGATGACTGCAACGACATACAGAGAAGAATGGAAAAGGATTGGGGAGACCTATGTCCAAAGATGGACCGAAGAAGGCTAATTAGATAGATAGATAGATCAAACCAATGATTTATTTTTTCTGACTTGGTTTTGCCCAATATTTCATCCGATGTTTGTAAGCAATATCTCGTATATTTGCCCATAATTGGTTATCTTCTTCTTCTGTCCTTATTTGATCTTCTATTTGCTGTCTGTATACACGTTTCCTCGTAACATTATGTATTTCTATACACAACTTTTGTTCCCTTGCTATACTGGATTTCCTCTTTTCCAGATAATTTCAAATATTTTGAATCTATCGACTCGGTTAAAGTCTTTTTTAATCGTTAAACTCTCTTTATTTGTCAATCATTTCATTTGTAATGAAAACCATTTCGAAACCGTGTTATTCTTCTTCTGTAACGGCTTCTGTAATATTTTTTATTTGTTGTTAATAATTTTGAATTATTTTTGATAAACTGCTAATACCCACCTCTATCGATCTCGCACAATGATGACTTTGGTGCCTGTTGTGGCTAACTAAAATTAAAAGGAAAAATCACAAAACAATTACTTGTAGGAGTTTCATGTACAATGTTGTAGAAATTTTTTTTTATCGAATTTTTATTATTCTGTATAAGAGGATCATGAGGTTATCTTTAGCAAATGATAACTGAAATTGCTTACTAAACCTTGTACTTATTTTACATTTAAATAACCTGTTATTTATAGGGTTATTAAGAACTTATTTTCTAATTTCTTCTTTATCATTACGTAAACAAAACAGTCATAAGAAACCACTGCAATTATTTTTACATATAAACAATTCATGGGAATATCATAAATATGAATCACGAACAAATATCAACAATACCTAAAATAGTGATAACCCTGGTAATAAAATTTAATTATCTTTATATAGGTACTGTTAAGATATAATGCGTTTTAAAGTATTCACTACATTATAGGCTCACATTAAACAACACTGCTGTCCTTGTGACATGAAAATTGTATATCTATAATATAGATTTAATTAAAAACTAATTTTTATAGCGTACTTAATAGTGATGCACTTTTTAATTAAAAAAAAATGCGTTTTTATTTTTTTAGTGCCTGCTTTTTAGAATATTCTGGTTTTTAACTGTAATCGTCATAATCATTGAATGTGTTTAATAATTATGACAAAAACTTTGGATATACATTTTTTAGAATATTTATAATCTTTTTTAAAAACGATTTCTGGAGTGTCTATCTTCTCTTCTTCTTCTTCTTCTTCTTTTGGTACCTATCCCCTGTGGATGTTGGCAATCACGTTGATCCACACAACTTTGTTGACAGCTGCTCTAAATAGATGTGTGGTAGTCATTCCTGTCCACTGTGCGATATTCTTCAACCACGATGTTCTTCTGCGCCCTTGAGATCTTTTGCCTTCTATATTGCCTTGTAAAATTAGTTGAATTAGTTGATACTTCTCATTGCGCATCACATGCCCTATGTATGTCATCTTTCTGATTTTTACGATACCTACGCATAATTTCGAGATCTTTATTCATACGTTGGATCATGGTGTTGTTTGTAACATGATGGATATAGGAAATTCTGAGCATGCGGCGGTAGCATCACATTTCTAGGTAAAAATGTGGTGCTACCGCCGAAGTGAAGAAGAAGAAGTAGAAGTTATGCAATATTTTATGCATAATCTTGCATTTTTTACAAAAAGACGTGAAACAATATGCTCATATTTTGAAAGATTTTCTTTGTCATTTTTTTCGCTCTTTAATTATAACACTTTTTAAACAAAAAACTCCATTTTACCGAAAGTCACTAACAATTTTGTCATCTATTCTATAACAAAACGTTTTTCTAGGTAATTTTAATGACTCATTATTGCCTGATGTTTTTATAATCAAATCAAACTATTAACAAATGAATAATCTGAACATCTGCGTTTTACTATCAATCAAAATTAGGTAGCTGCATTCATTATTTATTTAGTCCCGATCAAATATGTACCAATATTGCTAGTTT